CAAGCCCATGGCCGTCATGGAAGCCATGAACTCCTGCGCTCCATCAGAGTGTTCACCGAGCGAAAGCAAATTAAAGTCCCCCAGAACCATGAGCCTGGGGAACTCAGTTGCCAGCTCGGTTACCGACTCAAGGAGCGAGGGGAGGGCTGCTGCAACGCTGTTGGGAGGCAGGGACATTAGCAGCAAACCCACTTGACCCTTGAGGTCCAACTTCACCAGCAGGGACTCACACCCGACAAGCTCCGGAGCAGGGATCCTACGAGGAGCTAGAGACTCTCGGATAACCATGGCCACACCCCCACCCCTTTTCTGGGCCCTCGGCTGATGGAGCACCTGAAAACCCTCTGGGCACATCTCTACGAGGGGGACTCCTCCCTCCGGGCCCAGCCAGGTTTCAGTAATACATGCCAGGTCTGCCCTCTCGTCTAAAATTAAGTCCTGAATGAGAGGAGCCTTATGAACTACAGACCTGGCATTTAGCAGCAACAGCCTGAGACCAGGGTCCTGATTGTAAAATCTTTTCCAAAGTATGATAGAAAATGATAGCTTTTGGATAATCAGGATCTTCCCAATACTGTAGCTGTAATTATGGTTGTAGATTTTTGGATTGGGATAGATATAGATTCTACACGTTACCTACAGACAGAAACTATAAACATGATATTCAAATTCTTGTTCAGAGTTGGTAGAATGCTGAGTTCCTGAACCCAGGAACCAAGAGGTATGAAGTAATACACAATGTCAAAAACAAATCAGAATCAAGATCACCAAAGCCACAATGTTGTGAAGAAAAAAGTTGTGCTTCTTTTTAAACTAAACTACAGCAGTGCTGAGAAGAAAATAAAATATCTTGACTTCTAGCTGGCTTAGATCAAGAGCTAGTTCTGAATTAAAGCAAAGTTCTTCTATGAAAGGGCCTTTTAATACTTTAAGCTAAAACTGATCATCCAAATTTAGCAAATATGATACTCTGTTGATCTAGTACTTTGATTCTAATGCATATAATATTTAGTTAACATTATGAATATATTAAAGAAATATAGTATTAGGTGTCCTTTGAGCTTAACATTTGCACACATGAAGATGTCAAATTGTTTGTAGTATTTATCAGAATTGGTGTCTATTTCTCATTATCATCTATACTCATTAAAAAGAACCCCCTTCCTAAAATTAAACTGTTTGGCATTAAAAATATGAATAGCAGTCCAATCATAAATTATTTATCGCAATCATTAAAAAAAAACTATTAGTGTAACACAAACTACTTCAATATGAAGAATAAAGAAAAATGCAAGGAAAATATGACAATGGGATCAACTGAATTTGATTTAAATATAAATGTATATATATTGAATCTACGGTATATATCTTTTCTTATAAGCATGCAGTTTAGATCCAATCTATTGTAATGAGAACGTTTATAATGATCATCTTGCATTTTTATACATTTACCTTAAGGTTTCTTTGAGAAGAGCTCTAATCATTGGCAAGTTGGGAATATGGTGTGCATCAGGAACTTTATCTTTTCCCAAATTATGAACTATCTCTTTATAGATAGAATCCTGCACTTCTGGATGCTTTGCTAAAAGATATGTTGCCCAGGATAAAGTGAATGAAGTCTTGGAGGGGGATGGGGTGGGAAGAGAAGAGAGGTGGGGAAAGAAGAGGGATGTGATATTGTTCATTAAATAAGAGCATTTTTCATTTTCAACCAATCATATACATTTGGACAAATCAAGCTGTATATCAATCATGGTATCAAATAATTATCAGACAACACGGCCTTTGTTTTGCATTTTGGCTTTTCAGAGAATCGAATTCCCTTTACATAGAATCGTAGCTTTTAAAATTGCTTGTTTTATAGTATTTACGTATATGGTTGTCCAATTTGAACAAAAGTGTACAAAAGGTGTACAAAAACTGTATACAAAAATCTTCCGCCTCCCAGGCAGTTATAATTAAAACAAATGATATAACTGGAGATCAGAATTTTATTATATTCCATCAGATGGGTACTCTGTTCATCCTGTCCCAAGCTCCTAATGAAAGAACCAAATCTGCTTTAATATAGCCTGCAGGGTTGGCATCAAAAGCAAGCACCACCACAATGAAAGCTCATTTCCTAGATCCCATGAAATGACTTTATTTAAAGTAAAGGACCTGAAGCATGCCCTCCCTACTAGAGCATTGGACAAATACAATGGGGAAAAACAGTCCAAAAATATAGCAATAGCAATAGCACTTAACTTATATACCACTTTACTGTGCTTTATAGCTCTAAGTGGTTTACAGAGTCAGCATATTGCCCCCAGCAATCTGGGTTCTTGTTTTACCAACCTTGGAAGGATGGAAGGCTGAGTCAACCTTGAACCTGGTGGGATTTGAACTGCCAAATTGCAGTCAGCCAGCAGTCAGAAGTAGCCTGCAATACTGCACTCTAACCATTGCACCACCAAGGCTTAATATGTGCTCCTATGCCATGTAGGGTTTTATAGATGATAACCAGCACCTTCAATTGCATACAAAATCATACGGGAAGCCAGTGCAGGTCCCAGAGTAGAAGTATTACATGGACCTACTGAGGAATCCCCATAAATACCTGCATGACTGAACTCTATACCATCTGTATCAATAGCCTTAAGGGGCAGCTTTATGGAAAGCTTGCTTGCTTGTTTCCTGCCTTTATTATTTTACAAATTACCCAAGGCAGAGAACATACCCAACATATCTTCCCCCCTTATTTTCCCCACAACAACTCTGTGAGGTGGGTTGGGCTGAGAGAGTGACTAGTCCAAGGTCACCCAGCTGGCTTTTATTGTTAAGGCAGGATTTGAATTTATAGTCTCCCACTTTACAGCTTTGATGACATTAGCAACAGCTAATCCCTAATCATCTCAATTGTCTGTTGTCTGTTTCTGCAACTTTCTGAACTTTCTAGTGTCCTTTTTGAGGAGTCTACAATTACAATATCAACAGTTTTATGGTGATCAGAATTGTTCTCAGTATTCCCAGTACATTTTCATCCAAACATCTTCTTTTCCTATATTAAATATAATACTGTACACTACTGCTAAAGTAATTGACATTTCTCTTTTTCCATTCTTCCATCTTCCGTTCATTGTTCCAATTTCCATTTCTCTTGATGCTTATAATACAATTACAATTTTACAGTTTTGAGTTTTAATTCAGCCCCACAAATATTAACTTGTATTTCAAGTTCTGTATATACTTTTAATAGCTATCAAAACACGTCATATTCTTAGGATGAAATTTACAATGGCATTTCATTTTTTTTCTCCATCTCATGAAAGGGGAAAAAAGAGACATATTTTCCCTGAATTCCGATCTCATTTCTTTCACAGCATTTTACAATATTCTCTCACAAAAATTCAGTTTTCAACTAACTATTTAACAGTTTACTGTAATCTAAATAATATTTCTTCTCAGATCCTTCACCCCTTCTTCAAAATTGGCACAATCCTAAAGAAATATGGATTTTACAGACTTAGAACTTATTGTACATGCCTCCCTGAAGTTCAAGCCTGTATCTTTTACAGCAGCAGAAAACTGACTGAGTTGCTAAGTGATAAATATTGGTATTCCTTAAGAGGATACAAAGGAGATTGGGGAATGGATTTATTACATTTAACTGGAAAACAATTTCATTTAGACTTTTTGGGGAAGATAGACCAACTTTGGAGGTTGGACTTATATTTAACCAGACAACAATTGATAAGAAATGGTATTAAGAAACAAATGTGAACATTTGATCCAGGATGAATCAGTGTTAACTTCTGGGTAATTTGGAATATATAAGAAGCCATGGTAAATTTTCTATGAGTTTATAACAACAATTTGTTAAATTTTGAAATTCTAATATTGTCTTTTTATTATTATTATTATTCCTGTTAACTATTTTGTCTTTAACATAGTATATAGAAGAAAGTTTAATAACTTGCAAATAGAATTAGTAGATTAAAATTTTGGGACCCATTTCTAAAGGGATGGGAAATTAATATTATTGTAATATATTTTATTTGTATTCAGCTCAAGGCAAAAATATGTGTTTATGTGTTAGTTTCTTTTTTTAATGCAGTTTTTTAATGTCTTGTTTGGATTGTATTTTTCTTTGTTAAAAATATTTTTTGAAGTTTTATATTTTAACTTCCTTTCATTAAAATAAAAATAGATTAAAATGCTTTTGTGCCTATATTTGTTACTAGAAACATTCTGATAAAGAAACAGTCTACTGTTAAATCCTGGCTTGCATGGAAACCTCCCATATACAGTTGCATTTGAAAGGATCTCTTTCTACATACATATGATGTGAGTGTGTGTGTGTGTGCGTTCACACGCGAATGTGTACACCTTGAACTTCAGAGAAACAGGCTACACAGAGAGTGCCATGTCAGTGAAAATTATTTATTACAATCCATTCATGTGTACATTAAAAAGCAAAAATAATGAAAATTGAAGACCCAAACTTTACTATGTAAAATACTGCCCTAATTTATCCACTTACATAAGTATAAAAGAAATTTAATATTAAAAGATAAAATAGTTGTTTTAAAATATTTTATTTATCTTGCATATAAGATATTTTGGGGCAGGGATATCCAGAAACATAGGATATAAATAATGAACTTACTGTGTCAACACCTGCCAAAAGCATTTCAGTCATATTGGCATAAATTTCTTCTATTGTAAGTTCTTTTCTCCTAAGCAGAGTTGTAAGTAATCCACCTTCTATCTCTTTTCCTTGATCTAAAAGGGACTTTATTTCATTTATTTTATTGTCAACATGGATTTGACCTTAGTGATTAAAAGAAAGGAAAAAAACAAAGAATGTTTATCAAAATTTGAAAATTAACTTCTTATGCTGTTATCTTCTTCTTTATAAAGTAGCTTTTTAAAAAATATATTTACCTTCAATTACTTTAAAAATGTTAAATGTCTTACTATCTTCAATGCTGGAAAGTAATTTATTTTCTGTCTATGGAGATTCTCGATTATTCAGAATTGAAAAAGTTTCTTGGATAAGATGTGAAACATTTTCAAGGGAAAAAACCTAAGAAATTTCAGTTGCTTTTTGGAATAGCATCTTTGAGATACTTTCTATTGTGATAAGATTCAAGAAATTGCAAGATTACACATGTACTAAATAGGTAGTGGGGAAGCCAGATTCACTTAACAGCCATATTACTAATTTAACAACTGCAGTGATTCATTAAATTCTGACAAGAAATGTCGCAAAATGTGGCAAAACTCATTGTCTTGCTTAGCAATAGAAATTTGGGGTTCAATTGTGGTCAGAAGTTGAGGACTATCTGTATTCAATTGAAGCTAGCAAATGAGTCCAATGATATTGTTTAAAATCAGAATATCATGATAGTAATCCATTCTAGCAGTACCAGAACGTGGATTACTATTATCACTCTATCCAAACTAAGCAGTGCCATCTGACACACTACTGAACTTAATTCAAAATTCTGGTACTTATCTTTAAAGACCAAAACAGTTTGGAACCCTAAAACTCAAAAAGGTCTATTTTCCCATGTCGACCATAAAAAAGGCCTTTTCATATAAAGATTACATGCTTCATGCATGAACAAAAGAAATATTCTTTGGCAAGGCATTTCCCAATTTGGAATAGAGAGCTACTTAGCACAGATGTTGCATATTCCTTCAAATGCCTAATTGTATTTTTATATTATCCAGCCATCTTAAATTATTGCATTTTAGTGGATTAAATAGTTTTTATTCCTTCCATTTTTAGCATATTAGTAACTTAATAGTTGATATTGTCACAACATTGCACTTCAACAGGCATTATGTGGTATGTCAATATCCATACTCTGAACGTTAGCAAAAAAACATGAAAGAAATTTTAAAAAGTAAAGGGTTTCTTAAGACCTAAAGTAAAACCAATCACCCGCTATCAAAAAAAAAAGTGCCACACAGTCTTTGGAGGCCAAAAAAGGATACATTTTTTCTACTTCTGTGTTTTAAAATACTGTATGAAGAAAGGTTTTGCCTATTCAAAAATTCATTCCACCTGCATTTTCAGCTCCCTCCACAGAGATTGCTATGACATTGAAAAAACCACTTCAGATTATCTAAACATTCATACTAAATATAATTTGTCCAACCTGATTTGGAGAACACACTGAAAAAGAGAATCAGTATGCAGGAAAGAAGAAACCATGAAAGAATTTGGAGGGTCCCAATCTGATGTTCGAAAAAAAAAAAATGAATAATGGAGAAAGATTGGGGAATTATTTTCTGCTTTGTTAATATAAACCAAGGACAAAGGTTACTTACATTACAAGAAAGGCTGAGAATGGGTAAATAACAACTTTACAATCATAACTATACAAATAATAATATATTCATGTATTGTTAGTCAAATTCTGACTTTTTTCCATCCTAGATTAAAATGGTATTTTGATTGTTGCCGCAGTAAATATGTTTACAATTAAAGCAGAACATCTGGCTGCTTTAATTCCAATTTTAGACATAATTTAAGAAAATTAATATTCGGAATTAGTATTGCAGGTTAGAACTTACAGTTACACTTTGATATTATTTAGCTAACTATTCTGACCCCGCTCCATCCAGTGATTAATGCCGACACAGATTTACTGCTAGCCACGCTTTATTTACAGTAATTACAATCCTGTTGGCTGAAAGCTCAACACGATTCACTGGCAAGGCGTTGGCAGCAACCCAGACTCCCACAGACAAGAGATACAATACACACAAGAGCTTCTCCAGCTTGTTATGAACGGTTATGTCCTGCAAAAGGGCTCCTCCCAAAGTCTCTTCTTATATACTCTCTTGGGAGGAGCCAAGCCACAACCAACTGGGCTTGATTATCTCTTATGAGTCTGTCTCCGTAATTGCTGCCTCCGTTTCTCCGCTCTTCGTTGCCTGGCGTCAGGGACAAACTCCCTTTGATCTTCCCCACTGCTCCATGCCTCAGGCGCCTCCTGGTGGCCAACCAGCCACTCTGGTCCCTGCTCAGAGTCGGAACCTTGCCCAGGGTCCTCCACATCTTTCATAGCCAACTCATAGGGTCCCTCGCTATCGGAGTCCATCGGCAGCTCCAACGGCTCCTGCTGGGCCACAATAGCTAACATAAATAATATTTGAATTTCAATCTTAAAAAACAAGAACACTTACTAAATTTAAAGAGTCCATCCCACGATTTACAGAATTCTCTCCAAGGCTTTGGAATAATTGGACGAAGCCACTTGGGAATAGCTCCTGCATACATAGTAGATTTGAAACTGCTAAACATCAACTCCAATGCTTCAATATATTCCAGTGTACTTTTGGGAATGTGATTTTCTAGGCACCCCAATCGACACTCATACAAAACAGTTGCAACTCCTGTAAGGACAAAGTAATGCAGAATTTATTGTTTTTTCTTTGCAAAAGAATGTACAAAACAATACCATGCAACAGGAATAGATAAGGGTGAGTTCTGGTACTTCCAGTGTAGTTGCTCAGAAAATGGTGACTGCTTCTGGAATCATGCCACACAACCCAGCAACAAAACAGCTTGTTATGCTTCTCTAACCTGAGTGCCACAGCCTTTTGCAGTGTTGTGGAACACTGCGAAAGGCTGTGGTATGCTGCAGTGGTCAGGTTAGGGAAGTGTAGCATGGTGCTCACCACTTTCCAAGTGACCAGAATTCAATGTGGTTACTTGGAAAATGACAGCCACTTCCAGAATTGCTCCATGTGGACCAGTGATGCAGCAGCCTGTCCTCCTTCTCTAACCCAAACTCCAGAGTTTTGGAGATCTACAAAAGGCAAGTGAGGAGAAGAACATAGGGCCCAGTAGATTGGGAAACAGATACAAAGAGATAGATGGGACGCTGCAACATCTCTGTAATCAGTCGTAAAGGCGAAAACCGCAGGTACACTGCAGGACTTTTAACTTCACAATTAGATCGTATATAGTTTTTCGGGGGGTGTCTGTCATGACTTTGAATTGTTGCTGCATGACCAATCATAAGTCAAGGACTACCTGTATACCTTCAACATTATTTTCTTAGTTGACTTTATTATTAAGGTGAATCCTCTTTGAAAGGTTTGGATCTCTCCATCTTGAGCTTTTTGCAACCCATGAACTGCCATTTGTTAGACAACTCATTAATTCTGCCATCTGTTAATTATTTTTCTCTAGAATCACTCATAACTATGGCTATTGCCAAGGATTTATGGAAATGACAACCTCTAACAATGTCTAGACTATCTACCCTTGATTTATAGAATATTTCATCTCTTGTTTGAAGGCTATACTAGTGACTTCAATTGGTAATAATCACTGATGTAATCACATGGTTTCAGCTTTTATTCATTTAAAAATGATGACTCTTACCTTCCATTGAATATTTAAAAAAAAGACTGTTAACGTCTGTCACAGTTTCCCCATCTTCTTCTTCATTTCTAAGAATATGGATTCTCTTAATTAAATCTGAAATAACTTCATTAATTCCTCTGGAGAAAATTGCAACATCACTGGGCTTTACCATTTTTTGTCTTAGTACACGTCTCATTTTTAGCCATTGTTCCCCTTCTCTAGAAGAAATAACAGGTAAGGATAATCTAAATCACTTTTTTTCTGTCAAAAACAAAATCCTTTTTTCAGTAAATGGAAATATAATCATACTTTAAACTGTTTCTGGAGGGGAATATTTGTACAAACATTATTAGACTAATGTATAAAATGCTTTAAACATTTATGTTAAATGTTAAATCTTATTATTCTCATTTTATTGGAATGCCTCTACCCTTGAGTTATGAATTTTGTCAGGTAAAGAAACATCTCTTCCCCACATACTAATAATGTAATGACATTTGGAAAAAATACGTGAGAGGTTTTTTTTTAATCCTTTTTTATATGATGTTATCAGAATGATGCTGCCACTCATGGTGGGAAACTGAAATAAAACTGAACATGAAAAAAATGTCACAATTTTATTTTAAGAATTTTGGTAGGTGCCTAGATTCTAATACTTTTCTAAACACAATCCAAAATCATTTCTAATAGTTCAGTAACTTCTTTTAGATGTTCTTATCCTTGTGAAGTATTATATCCAGATAAATCTATCTGAAAATCAAGATCACCTTTAAATCAGTGCTCCATTTCCAAATGCTTCTGGTTTCTAAACATAGGCAATGAACAATTAGATTTTTTAAGAGATGGTCTAATTATTTTTTGATAGCAAAAATTCAGTCTCCAGGTGACTATAGTAAATATAAATATACCATTTTGCTACTGAGTTTCAACATCATAATTTGGTGTACTTTCAGGACTACTACAGGATTATTGGAAACTGCATGGAGCCTGCAAAACTACAAGTTGCTCCAGAAGCTGATGGTGACATATATATTCTTGGGAGTAATGCTATTTTACTCGATAATCTGCAAAATCTTCACCTGAGTCCAGGGCTTGATCTTTTTTTTTCTCTCTGAGAGAAAGATCAAGGGAAATATCACTAGCCCTTTTTTGTTTTGGAAAATGGGAAACTGCCATCTGATCATTCTGCAAAGTATCACTGACTCGGTCACTAAAAACTGTAGCAGATGGGGGAAAACTCTCAAAGGTTTGGGCTAAAGTCCACAATAGAAAATTATAAAAAGTAGATTGAGAATAAAAGTAACAAAATATTTTTTAAACTATTTAATCAATCATAAAAGAAACACAGAGCTTTAGAGGAAGAGTAATTAAGGTTTTCCTGGAATAAGGCTCATCCACAGCACAACTGTGCTGATCCCTGCAATTTCCCATTCACATTTTTTGGGGGGGTGGGGTATCTTTTAGTCTTCTTGTAATCTTCTTTTGACTAAAATCACTGAAAGTTAATTTGACCAGAATTATTTTAAAATAATAATAAAATAGGAAATGCTGATCTTTTAAAGTTAACTAAATTTGCCTGCTGATTATGAATTAATCCTAGAAGTTATCTGTGCTTATATGCTACTGATTTTAATATTCCTTAAATGTCTGTAGGGTGACTAAACTATAAATGCAGTTCTAACAATAAATGACTTTGTAGTTAACCAAAATTAACAGAATGTTCCATTTCTGGAATTGAGATCTTTCTGTTACTACATATAGTTTCATTAAAATTTTGCTGACATTTTCTAAAGCAGTGTTTTTCAACCACTGTGCCGCGGCACACTAGTGTGCCGTGACATAGTATAAGGTGTGCCGTGGGAAAAACACTTTATATATAGTCAATATAGGCACAGAGTTAAATTTTTTTAACATTTTCTAATGGTGGTGTGCCTCGTGATTTTTTTCATGAAAAAAGTGTGCCTTTGCACAAAAAAGGTTGAAAAACACTGCTTTAGAGTCACGGCTCCGGCCTTTTCCTTACACCTTCCTCCTCCTCCTCCTCCTCCTCCTATATCCCCCACCCGTCTCCCCTGCAGACCCAGTCGTGCTCTTCTCCCTTCCCCACTCCTTCGGGCACCCCGACCTTGTTTCCAAGGCTTCCCAACCGTCTGGAAGAAGCTAATTTCCAATTCCAGACTGAAATCGCATTTTTAGCGGTTGATTTTAGATTTAGATTTAGATTTAG